ATTCACAAAGGCACAGACTTCCTGATGCTTTCATGTCCTGACAAGTCTCACCACAACACTGCTGATTTAGGACCAACAGTTACACACAAGAACAACCCTGGGCTCCTCCCTCCTTCTCCTGAGGATGGGGACTACAGGAATGAGCGATATCATGCCAAAGTGGAGGCAGTTTTAAAACTTGGGCTTTGGGGAACACATTCAAAGTGTAGCAGCTATGCTGGTGTGGCCCTAAGACAGTGGTGTCCCAGGAGCTCTCGGGAGAGGTTGGTGGTCAGGTGAGACCTCACTCCCCTGAGGAGTGGCTGTTTGGGAGAATCAAGTCCCCAGAACTTGGTGCCTCCTCCTCAGGGCTCCCTTTCCACTCAGTGCGTAGGGCCTGCGGTGACACACTCTCCTCAGGAAAGAAGCCAGTTTCCCAAAGGCAGCCTGAGACCCAGCACAGCCCCCGGCATATCCCGACAGCTGGGGTGTGTAACACGTGAGGATTCTGAGTACTATGTCCTGCTCTGACGTGATCTCCCCATGCCCGTGGTTGTTATGAAATAAGTCCAGGCTTGTTCCGGATCCTGTGTGAACCGTCCCCGTAGGCCCTTGCCAGCCACATGCTCCTCAGCTGCCGGTGGTTCTTGGCTGGGAAGGGTTGGGATCTCGAGTAGCTGGGGCCTGGCCGGAGGAAGTGGGTCATTGCAGGTACACGAGACAGGGTCGTATGTAGCCCAAGCTGGTCTGAACTCCCTGTGTAGCCAGGAATGACCTTGGATCCTTGACCCTTTCGACCTCACCTGCCCAAGTGTTGCGGTGATGTACACGTGTGCCTGGCTTGAAGGGCACCTCCTGTCCCCGGCCGTTTCTTCTGCTTTCACAGAGGGTGGGCAGCTCTTCCTCTGGGACGTTACACCACAGCCCTACACTGAGGGCCAAGTGCTTTGGATGAGACTCTCTGAGGCTGTGGGTCAGAACAGCTCTTCCCACTCTGAGGGCTTCCTTCCTAGATTTCCCTCCTCCTCCCTCTCCTCTTCCTTCTCCCTCTCCTCTCCTCCCACCCCCGAGGGTACGGGTGGGGGAGTGGGGACAAGGTCTCACATAAGCATGCCTTGAACTCTGGAACTTTTCCTGTCCTGTCCCCTCTACCTGAGTGCTAGGTACAAACATGTGCTACGGAACCGAGTTTCTGGGGCTGTCTTTGCCGTGTGTTGTGTCACACCCCGGAGCGCTTCCAGCTGGCCCCTGGGGACCAGAGCCACGAGGAGAAAGCAGGGTTATTCAGAGGCCAGTATTGTGAAGAGACCTCCAAGGGCCCGTTAACCTCCCAGCTCCTTCTCAGACTCGAGAGCACAAAGGTCTTCTGTTCAAAGAAAATGTTATCTTTGGTGAAACTGTTGTTTTCTTAATAGTTAACACAGTGACTCCTTTGTGCAAAGAAACTATCTCCGTTAAGAGATATTATGGCTGGCTTCAAGGGGCAACCGTCACCAACTGTGTATGATGAAAGAGGGAGGAGGAGGAGGAGGAGGAGGAGGAGGAGGAGGAGGAAGGCTGGACTCTGAGAGGTGGAAGGGGACCAGGAGGGAGCACTGTGACCCAGGAAACATCTTCCCGGTGACTCCCACAGGCAGCGAGTGAGGGCAGCCTCTCCTTCCCTTTTGTCTGACGTGGTAGAAAGATGTCGCGTTTCTCACTGATGACTTCAGCGAGAGCCAAACCACTCTGGGAACCCACAACTTGAGGTTGGGTGTTTATGCCAGTGTGAGAGGGAAGTCAGGGTTCCACAGGCGCCACGCGAGGTGCAAACCAGCATCCTCTCACACTGGACCCTGTGGTGACAAGGACGAGGGACCAGCATCCTCTCACACTGGAACCTGTGGTGACAAGGACTAGGGAGGATGGACAGGTCCCTTCAAGTAGGGCCTGACTAACGGCAAGGGCTTCTGTGGGCCGGTACTGATGGAGCTGTCACAGTCGGACCCGAGGGGCAGAGGTAACGCTCTCTGTAGTGACTGGCTCCTTCACTTCCCCTTCCCTTCGGCATCTACCCGCATATCCGACTCTGGGTTTTTTATTATTAAGACCAATTTGAATTTGATCTACGCTTCTTTCCCCTCAGCTATTCTCAGCAGCTGACAGTCCCCCCATGACCCCACCCCCAACCCATGCCCGAGGGTCGACAGATCCAGTCCTGTGTGGGCCCTGTTCAGACAGCGGCTGCTGCTAAGAGTTAATGAGGGCAGCCGCCGCGTCATACCCAGAAAATGGCATCTCACAGCCCTCTTTCCTATCCTCTGGATCCCACATCCCTTCTGCCGCATTTCCCGATGTGTTCCCTGAGCCTTAGGGCTGATAGAGGCGTCCCACTTAAAGCTGAGCCTTCGGCAGCCACCCGTTTCTATCGCTGACTAGTTATGAGGGGTCTTTGCCCTACATTTGCTCCCTCCAGAGAATTTCATTCGTTCTCTGTGTCTCTGTGTCTCTGTCTGTCTGTCTGTCTGTCTGTCTGTCTGTCTGTCTGTCTCTCTCTCTCTCTCTCTCTCTCTCCCCTCTCCTTTTTTCCCCCTAAGGCTGAGATCAGCACTAATCTATGGGTGTAAGAAGTATAACTATTTAGGGGGAGGTCTGACAATGTGTCCATTTAACAAAACAACGGTTCCTCCGCAAGGCCTATGATCTCCCCAGCCACAGCCTTTTGGCCATCTTTGCAGTGCTAGGCATGAATTTCCTCCTGTGGACCAGGCCTTAAGTCCAACCAGAAAGCAGTCGGTTACCTTCACCATAGTCATGTCAAGTCTCCATGGCAGCAGTGAGCACGTACTGCCCAGGCAGGTCAGTGTTGCAACTGGCCTCCAGGGCCCATCTCCGGATAGGCTCATTGATGGCCCCGCCCCCTCTCCCCACAACTCTTTGGTACTATGAAAGCAAGCCAGCAGGGAGGAAGTTGCAAATTCTTATGTCCTGCACACAAAGGAGTCACATCTTCAGCCATAGAGCACTCCCATTGTAGTTCCAGGGGGCAGCGTAAGCAACGGGAACAGTCTGTGTTGTTTGGGGGGACCTCTGGAGTCTCCCTGACCAACAACGCTCAGGGAGGTATCTGCTCCTACGCTGAGGGCTCCAGTGTTTTCGGGAGTGACGGTCACTCAGTGGTTCCCACTGACAAGCTGAACCTTTGAAAAATGGGCTTGCAACATTGACCTTCCTGGACAGGAGTGTCCTGGACAGGAGAAAGTATGCTGATGAAGTTGGTGGGATTTTAATGGCATGCTAATGAATATTGTCAAGCCATGGGGTGTGGATGGTTTTGTTCTCAGACCTACTTTTTGAGCCCTTCCTTCTGGGGCAAGACTAGATTCCAGGGAAAGGCCTTACTAAGAAAGAGATTTCTTCTGTCAGGTGTGGGGTACCCCATCTATCAGGTCTGAGAAGGCAAAAGCAGGAGGATGGTGAGTTAGGGGCCAACGGTGACAGACATTGTAAGACTGTATCCCAAGCAAGCAAACACAACGGCAAAGTAAAACAAGGGGCCAGAACAGATGGCTCAGCGGTTAAGAGCATGTGTTGCTTTCACAGAGGATCTAAGTTCGATTCCCATCACCCATAGTAGCTTGCAACCATCTGTAACTCCAGTCCCAGGGGGATCCACGTCCTTCTTCTGATCTCTTCAGGCACCAGGCACGCACGTGGTGCACACACATACACGCAGGCAAAACACTCATACGCATAAAATAAAAAAAATAATAAAACCTAAAGCAAACAAGTAAAAATAATTTAAAATCAGGAGAGCTTTCAGGGCCCCGTCGCTCTTGCAGAGTGTCTGGGTTTGATTCCTTGCACACACACGACGGCTCACAACCATTGGTTACTCTGGCTTCCGGGGACCCAACACCTTCTGGCCCCCGAGGGCGCTACCTGCACTCGGTGCTTGTACTCGGTGCTCATGGGTGCATGCAAAATACCCGTGTACATAAAATAAGTACGTCTAAAAATTGCTTTTGAAAGCAAACAGTTTTCATCTATCTCCAAGCAGATCCCATCTCAGTGGTCTGTCACCATCCTTCAGAGAGGAAGTCCCTGTGCCCTGACCACTCACCATGACAGGGAATACTCATCTCTCCGGGGGTGGGGGTGGGGGTGGGGGTGGGGTGGGGTGGGTCAGTAGGTTGATCTGATTGGTGACTCATCTCTCGGGGGTGGGTCTTAATAGGTTGATCTGATTGGTGTAACCGTGGCAAGCCTGTTAATGGGGTAAGCAGTCACCTTCTGATTGGATTCAGAGCTCGCACCACAGGTGGGAATTCACACCTGGTTCTGTAGACTTGGCAAAAGGCCCATGACTGAGGAGGAGGTCACAGGTCCTGGCGGCGCCACAGCTGCCGCTTTTTTTTTTTTTTTTTTTTTTTTTGCTAAGTGGATACGATGCACCTATCGAGTTTCTTTCTAAGTAATTAGGTTTATCCTCTTAGATGTCGCGCTGTTGCCAGCTTTGGTCAGAGAGCTTCCTTTTGTAGAGAGCAGTGGCAACTAAAGAGACACGTGAAGCACATCAAAACACCGAGGACGGGAGACTGCGTCCCCTGCTCCAGCGCTCAGAGAGCATCAGCGAAGAGAGGGCAGAAAGATGCTACACGCCAGAGGCCGGCCTGCCGGAGTGTAGAATGCCCTCTTTCAGCGGTGAGATGGCCATGGTACTCCTGAACCCATAGCAGCTGTGATTTCCTGTGGGAGGGGCTGGAACTGATTGCAGATAGCTCGGTTATTTGTGTCTCCACACTTCTTGCCTTTTTTTTTTTTTGTAAGTCTGTAAGTCACGACCCCCCACCTTTAAAACTGCTATTTAAAAATCTCTGTGTGTACAAGTGTATGTGTGTGGAGGCCTGAGAACAACTGTTTTAGTTTGTTCCTTTGTTCTTTTTTTAATTAATTAATTTAATTATTTTTATTTTTTTGTTGTTGGTTTGTTCTTGGTATTTTGAGACCTGGTTTCTCTGTGTCGTCCTGGCTGTCCCGGAACTCACTCCTGTAGACCAGGCTGTCCCGGATGGACTCAGAGCTCCACCTCCCTGTGCCTCCCGAGTCACGGGATTTAAAGGTGTGGGCCACCACCTCCTGGCCTGAGAACACCTTTTGAGTCTTCCTTTTTTGTACTGTGGGTTTGGGGCATTAGGCTAAGGTTATGATATTGTGCGGCAAACACTTTTGCCCACCGAGACATCACCCTGCTGGCACACTGGACGCTTTTATTAAGTGCCACTGAAAGTATCCACCATGAGGTATGATCTCTTACCTGTTGGGGCCTGACCAGTTGAAGGCTGTGTGGAATCATTAATATGGGGGGTAGTTTGTCCCCCACTTCACCGCAGTCTCACAATGCTTTGGCAACTGTTTGGTGGATTTTTGTGGAATGAAAGATAGTATCTGAACTGCAGCCCCTTGTAACACAATAAGTAAAAAACCCAGAGACTGGCATTGCGGTTCAAGCTTTCAGCTGAAGATCAGAGAAACAAGGCAGCCGGCTACCAGCTCTCACCTCTCCCTCAGCTCAGACCAAAGGGGCGATCCTCACACTGCTCCCGACTTCACTGCTCCTCGGATTCACTCGGACTGCTGTGCTCTGCTCAGCGTGGCTTGAGACTCAATGCCTGATATGGAACACTGAAGACCCTGCTCATATCTATCTTTTATACCTCTCTAGTGCTGGGACTAAAGGCGTGTGATCCCAGGTGCTGAGATCACCTTTGCGTGAGCCGTTTTTTTAGGACTGGACCAATCTTGTGTACTCAGCGTGGCCTTGAACTAACAGAGGTCCGTCTACCTCTTATTCCTGAGCCCTGGGGTTAAAGGTGTGCACCACCACCGCCTAGTTTCCATGGTTAACTACTGTGACTGGCTTTGCATCTTCAACCCTCAGGTAAGCTTTATTAAATCATAAATAACATATGATCACAGCCCCTCCTCTCTACACTTCTGACATTCACTAAAACATCCCCATGCTGTACACAGATGCCCAATAAACTCTAGGAGCGGTTAGGTTAAACAGCATAGAGCAGCCTAAGCCTGAGACTCCTTGAGCTCCAGTTCCCCGAGTCAGCTCAGTGGTCCGTGCCCGAATGAGCCGAGTGTGGGTGGTCCGTGCCCGAATGAGCCGAGTGTGGGTGCATGAGGGACGTCGGAAACACAGAGGCAGCAGAGGCCGGGTGCTTGCCAAATGGAGGATTTGATCTCTCTCACTCAGAAAAAAAGTCCAGGCCACATAACAGGAAACGGACACGGGAGATTTTCACTTGTTTGGATCATGGTTTTAAAGGGATCATGTTGAGTAAGCTCAATTTATAGTCATCAATTTTGCATTTGTAAAGTCGACGTTACCTTTGCTACATTTAATGTTGCACTAGGCAACATTGTAGCGTTCTGTATGAGGGAAGGCTGGCATGACTACCTTGCATCTACATCCGTGCTTGCTATATCGAGTTCACAACTGCAGGCTCTAAAGTGGTTTGTGACATTTATTATAATTACATCCTCACGATTTGTGCATCTCTGGGAACAGGTTTTCACAGGTAGGGCTCACAGAGGTATGAGGCAGAGCTGTTCTGAGACCTCTCACTAGGCCTCAGGAGTTCCTAGCTGCTGATTAACTTGTCAAATGTAAAGCTCTTCATTGAAAGAAACTCCATGATCTTTCTTCCTGGGTTCCCCAGCAGGATAGGGGTCCAGCTCCAGCTATCGTAGTACACCTCTTCTTGTCTCAGAGCCCCGCCTTTGATGATCTCCAGGGCGCATTCCTCCTTGGGAGAGGCTGGGGCATTGAAGACTCCAGAGGTCGCCTTCATGGCTGTTTCTGTAGGACCACAGGGAAAAAGGCTGGAGTTATCTAGGGCTAGCAGAGCTTGTGTGACGGGGACTCCCAAGACCCCTAGGTGTTAGGTGCCGTGTGTCCATGTCTGAGCCCCACACACGGACAGAGGGAGACTGGCTGGCAGAGGTCTGCCTCCCTGAGTGGGGGACCTGTGGGGCAGCGGAGGTGACAGCCTGGGGGTCCAAATGCTCTTCTCCGAGTGCTTTGGTTGGGGTGACTCACGAGGGGAGCGCGGAATGAGGACCAAGTAGCTGCTGTAAAATGTAGATGGCAAAGGAGAATGCGGTATGACCATGGCCCACTGCTCACAGATTGGAAGAAGAGAACCAGGCTTTGGCTCCCCCCAAACATTGACCACTGCCACAGAGAAGGAGCCGGCCATAATTATGCTGTCTTCCTCCACTGGCCTCGTCCTTCAGACGCGCCTTTCCTCCCTCCATCTCCATGCTGCTTTGACTTCTGGTTTTGTTCTGTAATCGCTGCTTTAATTAAATTTTTTTGGGGGACAAGGACTCATGTAGCCCAGGCTGTCCCTGAACTAAGTATATAGTTGAGAATGACTCTGAACTCTGTGATTCTCCTCTCTCTCCCGAGTGCCGGGATTACAGGTGCGCTCCACCGTACATAATTTATGCGGTGCAGGAATCAAACCCAGGGCCACCCGAGTACCAGGCCAGTGTCCTAACAACTGAGTTGCAGCCCTGGATCATCAATCACTCCTTAAACAGGAATTTCTCAAGGTCCCAGATGTATGCGTTAGATAAATGCATAAGCACTGTGCTCACTGAGCATACACCCAACCTTTCCTGAATTGCCACACCATTCATAACCCCATGTAATGACCAGAAATGAGTACCATACGTGCAGGGCAATGTTATTGGCATTCTTTCTCTCTCTCTCTCTTTCTTTCTTCCTTTCTTCCTTCCTTCCTTTCTTTGTTTTTGTTTCTGCTTTTTGAGACAGGGTTTCTCTGTATTGTTTTGGAGGCTGTCTTGGAACTCGCTTTGTAGACCAGGCTGGCCTCGAACTCACAGAGATCCTCCTGCCTCTGCCTCCCAAGTGCTGGGATTAAAGGCGTGTGCCATCACCGCCAGGCTTTTTTTTTTTTTTAAACTAGTGTCCCGTTTATGCAGTGGGATTGTGTCCAGGAGCACACTCAGTGCTAATTTCTCCTTAGTCTGTGAAGGTTCTTTCTCTCTCTCTCTCTCTCTCTCTCTCTCTCTCTCTCTCTCTCTCTCTCTCTTTTAGTCTTTCATGGCCTTGATTCTTTGAAGAGTAGGAATTGTTTCTAAGGACTGTCTCTCAGTGTGTCACATTGAGGGGCCCATGAAACCAGTCTCCTTACTGTCAATCCCAGTAAGGAAAGTATAAAGACATCCAGCACCTTTTATTGAATAACAACGGTCATGGAGAGTTCGTGTGGACATAAGGAGCTCAGGGTAGAGTATACTATATTGAGCGTGGTGTTCAGAGCAGAGAGAAGGGTCAAAACCGCCCGGGCTCCACCAGTGACAGAAGTGCCCCATTGCACGATGCTTCTAGCTATGGTCTGCAGTACCTCAGGGAGACAGAACCCTTATTTTTCCTACGTGGTAAAGCCAACAGACCAACGTAAGGGCCCTCTGTCCCGGGTTCTTTTCCTTACCTGTGTTTATGAGGCCAAGAACACAGAGAGTGATGGACACGTTGACATTGGTTACTCCGTGTTCTCTTCTAAGGGAGGAGAAGAACCCATCCAGAGCAAACTTAGATGCAGAGTAGGAAGCAACCAGAGGATGGGCCATTTTCCCTAAAGGACAGAGTAAAGATGTGTGTTAATAAGGATCCAGTTTGGCCCCAGGCAGAGCAGGGCTTGACTTGGAGGGGGCTGGCAACCCCTGAGGGGTCTCCTTACCCGCTGAGTCCCAGTTTTCTCACTCTTCCCTAAAATATCCTATGGCATTGCATTTCTTTTTTTTTTAAGATTTATTTATTACATATACACCAGATTGAATTGTAGATGGTTGTGAGCCACCATGTGGTTGCTGGGAATTGAACTCAAGACCTCTGGAAGAGCAGTCAGTGCTCTTAACCTCTGAAGGGGATAGACATTAAGTTTTTGGAGATGTGGTGGTTTGGATGAGACTGTCCCCCCCTCCCCCATAGGCTCAGTGCCCAGCTGGGGAAATGCTTGAAATGACTGGGAGGTGTGGCCTTGTTGGAGTGGGTGTGTTGTTGCTGGGGTTTTCAAAAGCCCACACCAGGCCCTTTGCCCTGCCCCTCCCCCTCGGGATCAAGATAAAGCCCCCTGCTACTTCTCCAGCACCACGTCTGTCTGCTCCCACCATGATGATAATGGACTAACCACCTGGAACTGTAAGCAGGCTCCCAATTAAATGCTTTCTTTTAGCCTTAGTTATGTGTCTCTTCGGCACAACAGAACAGTGACTAGTCAGAAGCAGTAGTGCACAGATAGGGTGAGCTGTGAGACAGACTCTCTCTTCGTGGAGAAAGATACAGAAGCAATGGTAGGAAATGAGCTGTGCTTTCAATACAGCCGTGCGCTCTCACAGCTGCGGGCTCCAGCTCTGATCCGTGGCCTGCCCCAGTTCTTCCTGCATGAAGGGGACGAAACACCCATCTTCGAGTTTTATACAAAACCCGAGCTTTCATCCTATCAAGTCAAGACTTGTTCCAGTCTGCTGAGGGACACGTGGACATAGACACAGTAGGACAAGTTTTCCACATGCTTTATGGGTAGAACGGAAGTGACCCGAGGCTGTGTGCACTTCTGAACACTGATAGAAAGACTATAAAACCCTCGTGTGCGAGCTCTGGGGGCTGAGCCAGTCTAGGGTCCATTTTCGTAGGGAGCTCTTCCCTCCCCTTGACCATGTAACACTTTTTCCATATCCTGGAAACTGTGAGCAAGGCCTCCCAGAGTCTCTGGATTTTTGCCTCATTCCTCCAAATGGGATTAACTGTTGTGTTAAAATTAGTGGTTAACCTGGTTGAAATATATCCAGCCACTTGGTATCTGCACCATGGTGAACAAGCAGAAATCCAGAGAAAGTGATACAGTACAGAGACCCAGGATTCTGTGATGCTTCTCCAAAGAATACTCAAGTTTTTAGGCTCCTAGAATTGTAACAGTTACAGACTTCCAACAAAATGTAAAATGTGGCCATTGGAAGCACTAGCGAAGAGTAACAGTAGACAGACAGTTTGCTTCTCTTACTGTGTCCTAGACCTTCTAATAAATGCATGCTTCCACTGGTAGCGGTGCTGCTGCTGCTCTCCCAATGTCTCTGCCCCTTCCTTAGCAGTGGAACCCCAGTCCCTACCCGGACACACAGTTATCCAGAGTGAAGCTGACCCTTCAGGCTCCTCTCAGCCGGTTATTGCTGAGTGGCTAAGCTCTATACAGTGGCAGTTAAGCAGAGGCAGAAAGGATGCCTCTGCTGAATCACAGGGGGGGACAAGGTGGCCTGGAGCGGCCTGGCCAGCTCTACTCCGCCATCAGACAGCCCTGACGTCCCTTCTCATTTGCCCAGCCCCACCGTTGTTTTTAATTGTCAGCACCCGAGAGGGGACTCAAACCTTATTACAGATGGACCACGTGGAGAGAGGAAACCTGATGTCACTGGGGTTCCATCCCTTTACCCTGGACTGCTACAGGAATGGGCATGTGACCCAGTTTGGGCCAGTGAGACAAGGGCATTTTTGTTGAGTGTCTCATAAAGTTCTTTTCCCTCTTGAGAGTTTCTGGGAGTAGCAATTCCCCTTTCTCTCCTGATGGGCACTTTTGTGCGTTTATATGGGGCTAGCTCATTGTCAGCTGAGTGGGAAAACCACACAGGGAGGCAAGCAGAGCCAAGAGGATCATGGGAACGCAGCTTGAACTGGGTCAGCTGTGAAACCTGCCCTACATTGGAACTCCAGTTCTGTCAACAATTTCTGATAATTTTTAAAGCCAAAAATAGATCCAAAATATTTCTCGGAGTAGTATATGAATAAAATGTGAGCGTTAGAGACAGGTGACTTGGGTATAAATCCCAAGCATGGCATTTCTTAGCAGCTACGGTTTGTGCATTATACCATCATGGAGCCGAAATAACCACACACTACGCTTGGCATAGACTCTGACTCCGAGAAGGCATTCAGAGAATGCTGTTGTTGTCAACAGAATCAGTATTCAAGTCAGCAAGAAATGTATGAGTTAATCAAAAAGTCACATTGGGACAAATAGCTAGTTTCTCAGGGAAGTGGGAAAATGCTACTCTAACAAGATAATTCAAGCCGCATCAGAGAATGTATGTGGAGAGTGAGATGATACTACTGTAGGAGAAGGGTGAATTTACCATCTCCACAGACACTTAATTCAGGAAAGCAAGTGCACCTGCTGAAAGGAAGGATGGGTGGACGGAACACAAAACCTGAAAGGCTGCCTGGTGCTAGGGACGCCCACCTTGTCCGTTTGCATGTGTATCCCCCCCACACACACATTCTAGCCTTAAGAGGGCTGTCCAGCCTCAGCCAATGTGCACACCAGCCTGAACACAAGCCATGGCCTATTTCAAGAAACTGAAATAAATGACAGAAGGATTCTAATCACTGCCATTTGGTTTTGAGTAAAAAGGTTACATAAGGCTAGGAGGACTGAGGACTTCCAGGCATGAAAAAAAGGGTGAGTCAGCAGCAGAGGCCACTCCTGCAGATGGCAGAGATAGGGAGCACAGAGGGCCACAGACGCTGAGCTTAAATAGGTGCTAACTTTCTTCAAAGCTTGCATATCCCATTCCAGAGTTCAAAGACTGAATAACTGTTCAGAGTTGAAAGGTTGGTGGAAAAAAACCCAAGATTCAGATCTGTCTCTAGTGGCCCGCACTTAGATTCTGATGTTTCCTCTTCAGTTGGCCCTTTCTTCCCTCCCTCCTTCCTCCCTCCCTCCCTCCTTCTTTCTCCTCCTCCTTCTTCTTATTGTTATTGCTGGGCTTTTCCAGGAATCATGTGTCAAATCCAGTTACAATCCCCCCCTCTGTGTTGGTGGAGTTCACTTTGGTCTGATGGTCAAGCCCCAAATAGACAAGCTTTATGACTACCAGCATTATTTTTACTTTCAGACTGAGAGTGACAGACTTGTCACTCTTTAACATTTAGATTTGCTTCCCAGGGCACCATAACAAATCAGTCACCACAAAACCTGTCACAGTATAATCCACTCGTCAACCTTCCTAATGCTTTAATACAGTTCCTCATGTTTTGGTGATCCTGTGGGGACCGGGACCCTATATAGAAATCCACTCGTCCTGCCTCAAGTTCAGAGAGCTCAACTGGCTGCTATTGTCCTTAAGACATTATAGCTTAATGGCTGCAGGATGCCCTGGCCTCGATGGTGAGTGTCTCCTATCTAAATAACAATAGACTTGGGCCCAGGCGGGTTTACTCTCACCCTGAAGGCTGGTGATACCTACAGCTAGGGCCAAGTAGTACATGCAGCTACTGAGTGTCTTTAGCATTAAGGGAAGTAATTGTTATTTGCCCTACACACATGATAATACAAGTCTTCTGCCACTGTCCCCCAACTTTGATTACTTAAGATGGTGCATGAATACACTGAGGGGCATTCAGTGTAGACTGAAACTGCCCTCCTGACGGCTAGTCTCTGACTCTTTAACTCTTTTAGCTAGCCTTTCCCTCGTCCACACTCCCACACTCAGGAACGGACCCGGGGCTGATCGGCTGGTCCCGGCTGCAGCCCCACAAGCACCAGTCCATGACCTACGTGTGGCGCAGCAACGCGGAGCTAATATAGATGGCGCTGAAACGTGGGACTGAGAACGGGGCGCAGGCGTGATGGATGCCGCAGACGTGAAGAGAATGCTGGGGGCCGGGCAGGGGGCGGGGAGAAGCGAAGTGCGGGCGAGTGAACGTCGAGCGTTGGGACGTGAAAATGTGCGTAATTGTAGATGCGAAACAGGAAAATATTAGTCAGATGGCAAAGAAGTAAAGCATGGCTCGTTGACCTCAAGTGTGAAAATGTGTATAATTGTAGGTGCAGAACAGAAAAATGTTGGCCAGGTCGTAAAGGAGTGAAATGTGGTGAGTTGGCCTCCGGAGTTAAAAAAAATGCATGTAACTGCAGATGTGAAACAGAGAAATGTTAGCCAGATGACAAAGAAAGGAGTGGGCTGCCATCTCATAGCTGCACTTGGGCTTGGGGAAGTGAAAGTGAGGCCCGCATACCCGCTAGGTCAGCAGGACCTCCGGGTGCCAAGAGCTCAGGGTTGCTTCAAAGGTGGCCTTTGACTTTTCGAGCAGCTGAAGCCACAGATGACCCGAGCAGCCAGCCCAGGCCCAGAGGGCAAAGGTGATCCGAGACCTCCAGAGTGCACCGTCCCTGACGGGAAGGCCAAGCCCAGGAGTCTGCAGCTTTGGAGCTGCTGCATGGCCGACGCCCAGCCAAGTGCATGGAGAATGCTGATTAATGCAGCCAGTCAGAAACTGTTGTAAGACCTTATAGAAAGAAAGCGACATAGATAGAGTTATTCAAATCTGTTCAGATCTTGGATGCTCATATACTCAAGGGTAGGTTATAGCTGCTGCATTACGAGAGATTTCAGTTAAAGAAGTTTTATTCCAACAAACTAATCATGGCCCAGGGTAAAGGAGAGCTAAACGATGTATGCATGGTCTGTATGTATGATGTGGCCACGTGCATGTGTGAAGTGTGATTGTGAATGCATGAATCCTAACAGAAGGACCTGCCTGAATTGCTTTGGATACAGTTAGAAAGGGCATCAAGTCAGACTGATGGTTCCTCTAAAGGAAGAACAGCTTATGTTATAGATGGCAAAGAATGTGTAGATCAAACAGCTCCAGATTCAGCTCAGATAGCTGAGTTACGAGCTGTTGCAATAGTTTTTCAGCTTCTAGTAAATGATTCATTTAATTTGTATACTTATAGTCAACAGGATGGGTTGGCGATCTGCACCTCCCTCAGCTGGCCCCCAGAGCCGGTCAGCGGAAAATGGCAAATGCCAATGTGGCCCGAGAACCAAAGGAATCTGCATGGATGATTCAATAGCCTTTAGCAGAGGAGAGGACACAGAAATCTTTCTATTTTTGTGATTAAAAAGAAATCATGGAAATGAAGATTGATTGATGCAAGATTTGAGAAAAAGCCTCAGAGAACCTGCCTTCCTGTTAGGCTCCACCTAGAAAGGTGTCCGTGTAGATGCAAATGAGACCATGTCAGCTAAGGATAGTTTTACAAGCTGGATTAGAAAAGATGACTCACAAACTTTAAATGATTTTCAAAAGTTATTTGGGACATATGTTATATCCTAGAGAAATTAAGCCTCAAAAATTAGAAATCAGAAAAGATAGCTTACAATCTTTGAATGATTTTCAGAAGTTATTGGGAAATATTCAATGGTTATGTTCCTTTCTTTAAAAAGCATCTACTGGCGATTTGAAACTTTTAAACGATACTCTGAAAGGAGAAAGTGATCCCAGTTGACCCAGACAGCTAGCTGAGGAGGATAGACAAGTTCTTCTACAGTTGAAGAGTGCAATCCAACATCAGCAGATATGTCGTATTGACTACTCAAAGCCACAGGAGGCTTATATACTTCCCACACAGCACAGTCCAACTTCTGTTTTGTGGCAGGAGGGACCATTGCTATGGTTGCACCTTCCTATTTCCCCAGCCAAAGTGTTAAATCCTTATGTTGAAGCAGTAGCTTGTATGGTACAGAGATGCTGTGTGAAATCTAGGAGAAATTTCAGCAGGCAACCAAGCGTAATACATGTTCCCTATACCAAACACGTTAATGGGTTGTTTCAAAACAGTGATTCGTGGGCAATCACTTTTGCTCAATTTTTGGGAAAAATTGATAATCAGTTTCCAGCTCATAGACAGCTACAACTTGCAACAATGCACTCGTTTATATTCCCAAAAGTTGTAAGGAGTAATCCTGCAAAAAATGCCATATTAGTTTTTACTGATGGTCCTCTAAAGGAAGAGCAGCTTATGTTATAGATGGCAAAGAATGTGTAGAGCAAACAGCTCCAGCTTCAGCTCAGATAGCTGAGTTATGAGCTGTTGCAATAGTTTTTCAGCGTCTAGTAAATGATTCATTTAACTTGTATACTGATAGTCCTTATGTTTTTAAAGCTCTTCAAGTGACAGAGGCAGTTCCGTGCATTGGAACTAGTAATGATCAGGTTAGAATATTATTTGAGAAATCCAGAGTGGCATTCATCAGAGAAAGTCACTGTGCTTTGTGGGTCATGTAAGAGCTCATTCAAACCTTCCTGGTCCACTGGCCGAAGAGAATGAGTCAGCAGATAGATTAACAAAATTTGTCGCTTTATCTCAGGTAGAAAGAGCTCAGCAGTCACATAGCTTTCATCATGAGAATAGCAGAAGTCTAGGAAAGCAACTTGGTTTAACTAGAGAGACTGCTCGTCAAATTGTCAAACGATGTGATGTGTGCCCACAATACTTACCCGTAATTAATTTAGGAGTAAACCCTCGAGGCCTGCTTCTTAGTCATTAGTGGCCAATGCATGTTACTCACGTTGCAGAATTTGGCAAATTAAATATGTGCTCGTGGCAGTTGATACGTATTCAGGCTTCTTAGTGGCCACCGCACAAACTGGAGAAGCCACTAAGCGTGTGGTAAGTCACTGTTTAAAATGCTTTGCTCACAAATTATAAGAACAGAGAATGGATCTGGATACACTAGTAAAACATCTCAGCACTTTTGTTCCCAATGGAAAATTGATCACAAAACAGGCATTCCTTATCATCCTCAAGGACAAGGAATTGTGGAGCGTGCTCATAGCTCTTTGAAAGCGCAACTTCTAAAAGTAAGGAGAGGGAAGTTGTTCCCCCAGTCGCCACAGGATGCATTAAATCATTCACTCTTCATTTTAAATATTTTGAATGTGGATGCCTGTGAGCAATCTGCCCCAGACACAGCTTCAGGCACGATGGAACTTAGCGACTTTCTTGCAAGTCAAGTGGAAAGATCCACGCACCAGGCAATGGAAAGGGCCGGATCCTGCCCTAATATGGGGTCGAGGGCATGTTTGTGTTTTCTCGAAGGAAGAAAATGAGGCCTTTGGCTCCCAGACCATTTGGTAGGATGTGTGGAGCAGAGGAAAACCTGACCTGATACCGAGGGAGCCTGCCCAAGCCAGTTCAAGTGAGGCCCGCTGAATCTGTGTTCCTGACCCTCTGATGTCACCGACTCTACAGTCCAAGAAAGAAAGGGTTTGAGATTTCCAGTTTCTCAACAAGCCTGCTACTTTGACTTCCCAGACCTGTGAGTTCTCATCCTGGAGCCGACCAAGGACTGGATGACAAGCCCTTTATCCTCGCCACACCTTGAAACACAGAACTCGTTTTGCCAGTTTTTTCCCTTTGGGGGAAAAGGACTCATTTAGAACAATTAAACACTATATGGACGTGATGTGTGGCAAATGCCCCTCTTCAATGTTTGAACAGGACATGAACAAAAGTTGGCAGTTAATATTCAACATTCAAGGACTGTGGTACCTCAAACCTATTTTTGAACTTTACAAGCAGCCGAGCATTGGATTTTAGAAAGTGAGAAGGAAAAATTTCAGATTTCCAAAGTGGCTGAACAAGTTGTCACTCCCACCAGCAATGGAGGAGTGTTCCCCTTTTACCACATCCTCTCCAGCATCGTTGGTGTTTTTGATTTTAGCCATTCTGAGAGGAGTGAGATGGTATCTCAGAGTTGTTTTGATTTGCATTTCACGGATGGTTAAGGATGTTGAGCACTTTCTCAAGTGCCTCTTAGCCATTTTAGACTCCTCTATTGAAAATTCTCTATTTAGTTCTGCAGCCCACTTTTTAATTGGATCCTTTGGTTTTTTGGAGACTTGCTTCTTGAGTTCTTTGTAAATTTTGGAGATCAGCCCTCTGTCAGATGTGGGGTTAGAGAATATTTTTTTTCCCATTCTGTGGGCTGCCTTTTTGTCTTGCTGACTGTGTCCTTTGCCTTACAGAAGCTTCTCAGTTTCAGGAGGTCCCATTTATTAATTGTTGATCTCACTGTCTGTGCTACTGGTGTTATTTTCAGGAAGCCGTCTCCTGTACCAATTTGTTCAAGGGTACCACCCACTTTCTCTTCTAAGAGGTTCAGTGTGGCTGGATTTATGTTCTTCCAGTGGGTGCAGAAAGAGCCCCTTACTGTTCTGGTGGTTAGGGGACCAGAGTTCCCTTTTGGTGGGTGCTAGCAAGTCCAATAATCTGGTAGTTCTTCTATTCCTCATCCTCGTTCTGGTCCCTTGGGTGGAGGAGAAGACCAGGAATCTGGAGTGCTTAGCCCCTCACCTGGTCCCCTGGTCCCTTTGCTGGATCTGCTGGTTTCCTGGTCTCATTGGTGGGAGAGAAGACCTGGAATCTGGGGTGCTCGGCTCCCTCCGGGATTGGAAGCTCTGTGCAGTTCCCAGGCAATCCCCAGACACTGGAATGCAGGCCTGGATGCAGGGCCTGTTTTACCTGCTCCCGCCAGAACAGCTGGTCCCTTGGTCTCCCTGGATCTGCTGGTTTCCTGGTCTCATTGGTCCAAAGTTACTCTCTTATACCGCCTATGTAAATATGTGAGTTATTTATTCTTTCCAACGCGGATTCCAAGTATGCCCCCTCTGCAACTGGATTCCAGGAGTTCAGCTCAGTGTTTAACTGTGGGTGTCTGCCTCTGCTTCCATCGCTACTGGATGAAGGCTTCAGGATCTCTCTTACATCCTTATTTTTTCTTTCTTTTTTTTCTTTACAGCTTATATATCCCAACAGAATAAGAGAAAAACAAGCAACCCAGATGAGCCGAGTATTTTTCCACCGCCGAACTGGAAGCCGGAAAGAGCCTGTTTTTTTTGTTTTTGTTTTTGTTTTTAACCTGTCTTGGAATCACTTTCCTTGTGTGCCTCCTGTTCCTCTGTCTCTCTTATGTTTCTACAAGAACTCTTGTAGTTGGAGTCTGGCTCCCTCAGGGCATCTGAGATGATTTCATCTGGATAGCCGAGTTGTATCTTTGAGGACCCTTGCTCAGTTAAGGCCCTGCTTTCAAGTTTCAGGGGGACATTCCTTCTGGGGGGGACATACACACTCTTGTTGCCCACTACGCCTCCCTTAGTGCAGTGAGGGTACGGACTGTGGCATCCGATAGTCTTGGTTGGTAACAACTGAGCTGTAGAACAAGACGCCATGCAGAGCTGATTTTGTTTTGTCCGTGAAACTCCCTCTGTCTCATGCCCCACCTTTTAACAAGCCAAAGGTTACATTCACAGTACAAAGTTGCATCCTAAGTGACTTTTCAGGGGGAACGGAGAGAAGGTTAGAAAAGAGAAGGGAAGGAGGAAGGGGAGAGGCAGGGAAGGAAGGAGTCAGAAGTAGTCCAAAGGAGTCACAGCGTCACACACAGTGTCTTGTTTTCTTTTTCTGCTGCTGAGATGAAACTGACACAGATAAATCGGTCTCACTTCAGGTCACTTGACTACAGAGAGGAGACCCTTGATTTTCAGGGCTTCGGTTGATTTAGGAATCGCCGCTAATGGTTGCGAGCCAGAGGCTCATAAAAGAAAGGCTGGGGCAGATCACAGAAGCTGGAAAAAGAGAAGACAGCCTCCCCACCCCCAGCACGTTCATCATAATCTCGGGCATTTAATTAAAGTTTGTTTCCTATCCCAGGAACTACGCTTGAGTACTGTCCCACATAACACATCACACAAACAATGTACGGTAGCATACACGCAGCCCCAGATCTCAGGAGACCAGGGGGGTTCAAGGTACAGCTCAGCTCAATAGCAAGTATGAGGCTACCCTGGGTTATACAGGACCCTGTCTCAAAAGAAAAATGAAAGAATCTGGATTTTCAAAGGAGTTTTGCCCTTTCTATCCTTTGGGAATGACTTAATATATTTTACTGGATGCAAACGTGGACGTTTCCTCACATAAGCTGGTTAGCATTGTGGGGGGAAAGGCCTTTGCTAAAGCGAAGATACATGTGTCTTGACGTTTGAACTAGCCAAGTGAAGACCGTTCTTGAGACATGAAGCAGCCAGAGAAAGGGCTTCACCACGTCAGAGCCACCAGGTCATGTGTGATCTGGGAAGGGCAGGTTCCCACAGAGCAGGGCTGGGTCGCAGTAGAGGGAAGGGGGCCACATTATCCCCCATGACACCCTATGTAAGCGTCTTATCTAACGCCCAGCTGCTAGAATCAGAACCTCTTCAAAGGGTGCAGTATGCGAAGAGTTCATTCTAAGAGGCTTGGGGGGGGAGGGGCATCGTCACGGTGAGTACCCGTGGCTGTGTCAGAGGAGCAAGGGGTGGCATCTGAAGGTCAAGGTGTCAGCCCACCAGGAGGAAACTCTCTGATGGGTCAGTCTCACACAGGCAAGACCACAGACCCTGGGATGTCTTTTGCTTCTGCTGTGCCTTTACATGTTTCCTGCCGCCATCTTTCTCTGGTGTCTGGCAGGTGTGATTGGGTGTGGAGAGACCCCCCCCCCCACTGCCTGTAATGTAGTAGTGTGTTTATCTCACAGGAACATCCTGTTCTACTGGGCATTTTTTTAACCTGTGGATTACTATGAAGATGATTTACCCTTACGTTGTACTGTCTAACTGATAATAATAATAATAGTGCTAGTTGAAGTAGAGTTTTTGATTACAAAAATAAAACAAGGAAATGTCACACCGCTACTGACACACTGGGTTTCTGTTGAGGAGTCATGCAGTTAATGATTAGGAGAAATAATCGAGTCCCGGTAGCCCAGCTAACTTAGATTCTCTCAACCTTAATGTTGGGGGATGTGTTCACAGGTTTCGGAGTGAGTGACTGCTGAACCAAAGCTTTAAAAATAGCTTATAAAGTTAGACTTCGATGTTTTCGTCACATAACTTTGAGGTTAAAAAAAAAAACCAAGAAGACAATCTTGTGGAACTCTTTAAGGTCAGGGGACAAGAATAAAGCACCCCCATTTATTACTATTTGACTCACTTTTCTCGCTAGGGTTGGTTAATGACCAAAGGTGGTGATTAATTCCTAATCCACTTTTGTCCTCAATCTCCTGATATAAAAAACTATTGATGAGTGGATACTTACCCTAAAGATTTAAAGTAGAGTGGAGTGATTCTTTTTTCATAAATGAAGGCTTAGGTGTGGTTCCTTATAAGATTACCTTTTGAGATAAGTAATAACGTAACTGGCCCTTTCTTTGGGACTACAGACCGGACTGAGAAGAGCACCTTGCTTGCCCACATGGTTAATCTATAACAAGTTGCTTGGGTATAAATGTACATAGGTTCTTGGGATAATTTGTTTTTCCACCTGTACCACATAAAATGTTTAATCATGTAAAGGATATGGGAAACATGCTGTTTTTTTTTCTCTTTGCTTTGTGTTCATTGTAATCATTCACTTGAAAAGCAATGTAATCACATTGTTTTTCCTGTATTGTCTGAAAAACTTTGTTGGGGTATATAAGCTGTAGGAAAAAGTATACCGTAGAGAGAACACAAAAAAGAACCGAGAAGAATAGAAAATAAAGAAGGAAGCCATCAAGAGAGTGTGCGAATGTCTTTTCCCCTAACCCTCTCAGATTAAAAAAAATAGTCTAGAATGCATCGACTCTGTGGCTTCCCTCTGAGTCCTGTGCTGCTGGAGGCTGGTCCCCCAGGCACGATAAGTGAGGCTCTGAGAAGCCTGTGAGCATTTTGCTCTAGGTCAAGTTTTAGCTGACACAGCAACAAGAGCTGGGCAGTGGTGGTGCACTTTAGTCCTGACACTCAGGAGGGAGACAGAACTATGTGGATCTCTGTGAGCTTCAGGTCTGCCTGGTCTACAAAACAAGTTCTGGGACAACCAGGACTGTTATATAGAGAAACCCTGTCTTGAAAACCGAAATAAAAACAAACCACCAAAAAAAAAAAACCCAACAAAACCAAACCAAAACAAAAACCCTCAGCAGAATGCAAACACCACACACACTCACAACACACACACACTCACAACACACACACACTCACAACACACACACACACTCATAACACACACACACACACACACACACAGTTGATTCTCTTCCAGGAAGGCTTAGACACAAAGATAGTGGTGGTGACTGCATTTTCTGAAACAAAACATGGGACAAGGATTCTGACAATGTGAGAGCAGATGTGGTAAATGGTAAATGGGACAGAAAGCCCAAAGATCTGTCCCCAAGACACTAGGTTCCAGTCACTGCAGAACAGCCACAGCCGGCGAGCTGGCACCAGGCTGTGCACACAGGCTTGTGAGCTGGACACCAGAAGTCAAAGGGAGGCTTGGAGTGCAGGGTCTGGGAGGATTTCTAGCTCTGGCCATGGAAACATGGTAGACTTCAAGCAGGAACTTGCTCAGCTAGAGACTGCTGGAGAAAGTGATTGTGGCTCATTCGCCTTGGTCCCTCCGGCAGGAATGAAGTTTTTAAATTGTGTTTTTATTCTTTCGTGAGCATTCAGTTAAAGCAGTTAAAATTCGCTCTTGAAATTGAAACCATTTGAAAGTCCAGCAAGGCAGTTGGTGATGGAAAGCCGGAGAGGTCAGAGCAAATCATATCTGGGAACCACCGGGGATGGATGGGAGTGTTTCCCATAGGAATCGCCAAAGAGCCCCAAAGAAAATCCCCAAAGCATTTACACCCACCCTTCCTAGGATGGAGAATACTTTTTTCTTTTCCTCTTGAAATACTTTCAAACTTTTAGTAAAGTTGAAAGGTCATACACAAAAGAAATTATCCCCTCCCCCCCCCCCCAGCCTCCTTTCAGACGGGGTCTCATACAGTTCACACTGATCTCAAACTATTCTATTTTGGGTGTGACCCTTGAACTCCTGATTCCCCCTTCCTTACTCCCAAGTGCTGTGATGGCAAGTGTGCACCACCGCACATGGCTTCTGCGGGGCTTTAGAGAGTTAATTCCTGTAACCGAGGTCAGTGCCGTCCCTACGTTCCACCACCTTGAATACGCATACCTGCGTCCATTTGGTCACAATGGGAGCATGACAATGAAGGAAGACATGTGTCATTTCTCAGGGCTCCTGTAGCAATGCAGAGATCTTGAGTAGCAGAGATTTGTCCTCACAGTTGTGGATTTGAGACGTGTGGAGTCAACGAGTTAAGAACACCACGATCCCTTCAAAAGCTCCAAGAGAGGATCCTTCCTGGATGTCAGTGTTGCTCTAGTCTCTGGTGGCATATATTCTCGTGGCCTCTCTTCCCTCCACCTTTTGTCCTCTGTCTCTTATTACGGGATTAGGTGCTCATGTGGGTTATCCAGGGCGATTCCAGCTCAAGAGCCTTCATTCAATGAAAACTGCAAAGATCCTTCTAAAGGAGGTCATGTCCATAGGCTCATAGAGTTAGGATGTGGATGTCTTTCCAGGGGCCACCAACCCATCCATTTCAGGGATGCTAATGGATTCTTGGTGTATAATCCATAGACACCCTCCCAGGGGTATTGATGCTTATCTCTACCATGTAATGTTGTAACCCAGACAAGCCTGCCTCTGTGCCTTGGGGACCTGGCACAGTGTGCCATCTCTATTCAAGGCAGGCAGTACCCTGTCTCTGTACACAGGTGCAAAGGCCCCTTTAAGAGACAAGCTCCGCCTACTTTCCCTCTCTCTTTCTGGCATTTCTCTGAGGAGCAACCCTCTCTCTGTCTCTCTTTCTCTTTCTTTTCCCTTCCCTTACTCCCTTGCCTTCCCCAATACGCTTTCCATATAAGTTTGTCTGTAGGTTTCTGTCTGCCCCTCACTTGCCATGGGGTCCTCGAAAGGTCCCACCTCAAGCCGCAGCATTACACACCCTATGTTTTATAGCGGAAACATCCCAAAGACCTTGAGATGCACTGCATGCTGGGCTGTGTCAGTTCACTTCTGTTTGAAGTGATTTCTGCAGTGTCAAAGGAGTCCATGGTTTTGACAGCATTGGGAGTCACAAGTACTTAAACCTGTACCAGCCAACATGCGTGGCGGCCGGCTTTTGCCAGATACCAAGAACAGATAGCTGGCAAATTTTTTTTAAAGCAAGTTGATGCCAGGCCGTGGCAATCATGGAACTATTTACACTATAGAGATGCTACCAATAAATCAGGGTTTTAAAATTTTTCTGCTTTCTGGGAAGCTGACCATTGAACACACACGTGGACCCTTCTGGCGACTGTCCTGCCATTCAGATTTGTCCGATATTCTGGCATGATTTGTTTTGAACTATGCAGTCCTGGTAGCCTCAGGAGTAATTCTATGTTCTTCACATCCCATCCCACCAGAGGCTCTGGTCCTTTCTGTGGCTGGCGAAGTGAATCAGGGGTCACTGGCCTTAAGAGGAACCCTGAAGTTTCTCTAGCAAAAAACTGTCCTTTCTTCTTGTAACTGGTAATTATGCTGAGTGGTTTTCTTTTTTTTTTTTCCTTTTCTCAAAAGTGGTTTAACCACCTTTAGACACACTGTTCGGTGGCATCAGGCATAGGTCCATTGTGCAATAGCTTCAGCTTCTACTATCATTTCCAGAACTGTTTATGTTGCAAACTGAACTCTTCACCCATCAAACAATAACTCCCATTCCCTCCCCACCCCACCCCACCCCCGCCCCAGGCCTAGCTCCACTAAATCTGCTTTCAGTACCTGACTTCTTATTTTGCTGCCGCCTTTACTGTGTGGGTCAGCACACACTGCCCTGCTCTCCTGTCCGCATTCTCAGCGGTGCGTGTGTGTGTGTGTGTGTGTGTGTGTGTGTGTGTGTGTGTGTGTGTGTGTGTATGCTTGGGCTGCTCTTGTGTTTTGTCTGTCTTCAAATCTCTCTCCAAGACAGATTTTAACCCTGAGTGTCTACCCACAAGCAGAGCTGCCCAGTTATGTGGCAATACTATTTTTAAATGTTTTAAGGAGTGGCTGTGTGTCTCCCCCCCCCAGCTGTACCAATATACGTTTCCACTACTCTTATACAGGGGTCCCAGTTTTCCTGCATCCCCATCCCTGCATCTTTCCTGTATCCCCTCCTTCCTTTTCTTTCTTTCTGCCCTCCTTCCTCCTTGTCCGTCATGACAGCAACATGCTAATGGGTATGGGCTGGTGCCTGTGTATATACTTGGGGTTTTCCTAGTGATTAGAGGTGTTGAATATCTTTGCATGGTTCTATTTTCTTTGGGGGAAGTATCTTTTCAAGTCTTTGGCCAATTGCATTCATTGTTTTTATCTTTGTTCTTGTTGTTGAGTAGGTAACACTTTGAGACTAGTGGAAATGCTCTGTTTGCTACTAAACCTTCACCCTCTGGTTTTAAGGTTTATTAATGTGCCTGGATGAATGATTGCCATAATGATTGCTAACTGATGATTCTCCAGTGTTCTTGTTCCCTCTGTGTTTATCGTTTGGCCTTCCACTATGAGGGGGAGAGATGACTCCTCTCTCCATTTGTTTATTCTTGGGATTATGTAATTGTGAACTCATTGATTTCTGTGGCATGTAATAGATTATAGTCCATTTTTGTTATTGTTCATAGTTGGATTTTATTCTTTTCTGTTGTAAATGTTCAGTCATCTGTCATTCTAAAGCAGTTTGATAATGCATACAAATGACCTCAAAATGTTCCCGTTGTTCCATTTACCCCATATTCCACTCAGACGATTGCTACAAATCTATCAAAAACTAACCGTCAGTTCAGGCACAGGCTCAGGTTCAGGAAACTTTTTATTCTACTGGCTCTCTCTTTCTGTCTCCCTCTCTCCCCACCCTTTCTCTGGGTCTCTAGTGTGGGTTGGCCTGGCCTGATAATCCCTGTGTAGCAGACAGTGGCTTTGGACTTCTGATCCTCCTGTTAAGATTACAGGCATGCAGCCCAACACCAACTTTGTACAGTGTTACAGTACCAGGGGTCATACCAGGGGATTCTTGGCTAGAAGACAAGCACTCTGCAGAGTTAACAACTCTAGCCGTGTCTTTTGGTTTTCTAATTTTTTTTGAGACAAGATCAACTTGACACATACATATAGCATGCATAATTAAAAACCCAGAGACAGATATTGGGGTTAAAGATGAAGATCAGAGAAGCAAAGCAGCCAGCCACTAGAGAGTTCTCACCTCTACCAAGGCTCAGATCAAAGAGGGGTGATCCTGTCCTCAGAGTGACTGCAGATAGACTGACTCCTGTCTCCTCCTGTTTTATATTCCTCTCTAGTGCTGGAGTTAAAGGTGTGTGACACCACTGCCTGGCCTCTATGGCTGACCGGAGTGGCTGGCTTTGTACTCTGATCTTCAGGCAAGCTTTATTTATTCCACTATAAACAAAATATCACCACACAGGCACATCTCCGTTAAACCATAACCTTTCCTTTCTTGTTCATCCCCAAAGGCCTCATGTTAACAGCAACATAAAACACTTCACACTTTAAAAAGTCTCATAGTCCTTTCCAAAGCCTCAGACTCACAGTCTCCCTGCTTTGATTTTTTTTTTTTTGAGTGCTAGGATTATAGGTCAATGCTGCTACCCATGACCCTTTATAGGATAAGATGCCAAAGCAAGGAGGAA